GTTGTGCTTTTGTGAAGCGGGGGTGTCACACTGCGAGGATTCCAGCAGACGAGCTCTTTCCAGTGGCCAACTTGCCCTTGGGACCACGACCTGGTGACGTGGTGCCACGGCCACCTCTTTCAGGCCCGGGCACTCAAGAGGCTATGAAGAATGGATCTCCGTCTTTGGGTTTTACAATGGGCCAAGCTGCTATTGAACCACGCTAAGCATGAGATCGTTTTTTCTATTAAAGTTTAATTCCAATTCTAATTCTTTTTCCTAATAGCTTCTTGTTACTGGAAAGAGCTCGTCTGCTGGAATCCTCGCAGTGTGACACCCCCGCTTCCACAAAAGCACAACATACAAATAGCAATGCCAGGAGCCCCTAGTAGCTTCTTGTTACTAGTAGTAAGGCCAGGAGCCCCTAGTAGCGTCCTTGCTCCTAGTAGCGATGCCCTTTGCTCCTAGTAGCTTCTTGCTCCGTTCGTAGCTTTCCAAACTGAACTGGAACTGGTGTGACCACGTCCTTGTCACGCCGCTGTCACGACAAGGCTCCCAGTTGGCCAAGCAGCGATGGTCCGGAGGGTCGGATCCTGATCCCGTCTTCGAAGCGATTCGAGAGCACTATGCGGTGAAAGATCTTCAGAGTCGACGTCGGAGTATCTACTATGGGAAGTGCCGTGAGAGCCTTCTGCGAAGGGTGCCTCAAGCAGTTCCTGAGCTCCTGCCAATGCATGACATGTCCAGCTTCTTGAAACTCAGCATGGAGAAGCTTGGAGATTGGTCAGACACTCATGGACACTTGTGAGCATGTCTTGCCGCACAATATCCAAGTCTCCAGACATACCTCGAAACACCACACCCAATGGCACTTGGTGCAAGGAACACCTTGGAGTTTATCATGGGCTTCAGGCAGATGCACAAAGCGGCTGGCTTGGAGCTATACCAGGATAAAATTCAGCTTGCCAAGGACGGGCTCGCTTGCAACGTTCTCGGGCTAAAGAGGCCAAAACAGCCTTTTTTTCGTCCCTCTTCACCTACTACCCGATCAACTACTGGGCTCAATCGTTTGGCTTGAGACAGATTCTTGAACCAGGTTTCCTTTCTTAGCCTCTTAGCCACTCGACAAGGAACTGTTCCACTTGGTCCCAATCAGACGCGAGGACTTCGAAGCACGTGGTTATCATGTCCCGAAGATTTTCTACGCCTCCTACGCAGAGGACTTTGATGTGCTACCAACCCTGCAGGCCGCCATGTGGAAGTGGGATCGGTTTGGATGCGGAGCGTGTAAGCATCATGGAACATGTTCAGCCGATCTTCCCTATGTAAATGTAACGGATCTACATCAAGACATCTAAGGTGTTTACATAGCCAAGACGTTTTCAGTCCCAATTGAGCACCTGCGACACTTGGTGCAGATTTTGTCGTACATGTGTCGGAGAGGCCCTGGAAGCTCAAGGACGAGCCTATGTGGCGAAAGCGTCCCACCTTTGCTGTTCACAGGGAGTTTTTGTCATGGACTCTGGAGTCGAGCGCTTCCTAGCAGAAGAACAAACCTTCTCCGTTTGATGTCCTCCTTCAAACTGGAGTCTTACTGAAAGAGTCGTAGCATGTTGTAGCATCTATTTTATCACATACGGTTGGGCTTCACATAAAAGCGTAAAAAAGCGTAAAACGCTTCGCGTACTTTTCAAGGCTTGACCAACCAGAGCCTCCGGCCCGAAGACATCCAACAGCAGCTGCAACATGCCTATGCTCATCCCTTGTCCGAAGACCAAGTCGATCCAAAGTGCGGCGACTGGGGGACTGTGGAGGCCGGCAAGAAGCCGGGTGTTTTGGTGGAGGACACTGGGGTGATTGTTTTCGAAAGGTGTTTCGGTGGCGCATCAAAGAGCAGAGCTCTTTCATCAACCCTTCTGATTCTGGCAGCGTGTTCTTGCTGGACTGGTTGGAGAATGTTGGATGTTTGGGCTGGTAAAGTGCCGACAAGGCGTTTGAAGCATTGAGAAGTGGTCACCCTGAGGAATTGTACAGACCTTCATTGCCCGCAAGCTTTCTAGATGTGCCACTTAGCTTGCACTAATATGAATGAGGCTGCCGGAATGTACTGCACAATGGTTGACAGTCTTTTCTGCGTGATTCTCACGAACATCCATGAACCAATGTGCCGATGAACCATTAAAGATATCACAAGCCTCAGGAGCAGCCACATGTTGAAATCTGTCTTTGTTAGGTTGGGCGCTGATTGGGTCTCGCCAGATGTCTTGGCATGCCATTTGGTGTGGTCCACGTTGTATCTATGCCGCTGGGAGATCAACGCCTCTTAGCCGCACCAATCTTAGGAACATGTCTTCAGCGATGACAGCTTCACGAAGCACTAGTTGAAGAGCACAATCCATGTGGACCACATTTCACATCGATCATTTGAGAGTTGAATCTCGGGTTTGGCCGTGGGGCCACATGTGGGGCATAGAAATGGTTGAGACACGTTGAGACGCTGACAGAGCCGCCAGAGACGGGTTAGTAGCGTCCTTGTTCCTAGTAGTAAGGCCAGGAGCCCCTAGTAATTAGCGTCCTTGTTCCTAGTAGTAAGGCCAGGAGCCCCTAGTAATTAGCGTCCTTGTTCCTAGTAGTAAGGCCAGGAGCCCCTAGCAGCGTCCTTGTTCCTAGTAGTAAGGCCAGGAGCCCCTAGTAATTAGCGTCCTTGTTCCTAGTAGTAAGGCCAGGAGCCCCTAGCAACGTCCTTGCTCCTAGCAGTTTGGCCAGGAGCCCCTAGTAGCGTTCTTGCTCCGCTTGGTTTGGGTTTCCCCAGGTTCGAAGGAGCGGAGAGCGCCACACCGAGTTGTTGGGGACCGTTTTTCGAGATGGCTCGTGCTTGAGCTGTCGATATCCACTACTGGAACTGGTCAATTGGCCAAGCACGGTGCAGATGCTGGAAGCTCTCTTGCCTCACACCGACTATGCCACTCGGCCGCATCAAAACCGGTTTCGTGTGAAGATGTTTGAAGCCTTGCCTTATCCTCCTCCCACCTGATCGAGATGAGCCATGAGTCCATGAGCCAAAAGCGAGTTTTGAGGTGCGGATCTCGATTTTCCTCCACGAGACCCGTGAGCCTGTGATTAATGAGGTGGAGTATACCACCGGTGGTCTCGAGGTGTTCCCAGTGCCAATTGCACGTGAGTGGACCTTGCGATGGCTGGAGGGCTACTACGCCTTTTTGTCATGAATGCTCTCGCACAAGAGCCAAAAGAAAAACACCTTGGCCATGAAGCATGGTGCATATAAGTCAGCATATAAGCCAATTACAAGATACAGAAGCCAATGTTTTTGAGAAGGTTGATGCAATATTGCTTCTTCAGTCTTCAGTATCAAGTTGGTCAAGTGCCGAATACATTCTCAGCACACAATCCACTTAGGTTCGGCGGAAGTAGCCCTGCGCGAAATGTGGCTGAAGCTTGGCACCAGCTTTTAGAAGGTTCAGGTGTTGCCCCAATAGTAGGCTAGACAGAGTTTCATGATGGAATGCTGAATTCTGAATTCTTGAGGATTCACAGCCCTTCAAGGAGCAGGAGGCAGCTTATGCCGAGAATACAGAACCCGCCGGGCCAGGGCTTTGTAGGGGTAAAGCAATTAGCACAGGCAGAACTTTCTTTAACTTTGCTCACGGTTGCATTCTCACTGGGAGCATGCCAGGACGATACATTGCTGTGACTTGAATCAATTACCGTAGTCGAAGATTTCCTCGGTTGTCACAATTTGCCCTCACATTCAGTCTTGTAACTAGTAGCTTCTTGTTACTAATAGCGATGCCAGGAGCTACTAGTAGCGTCCTTGCTCCTAGTATCGATGCCCTTTGTTACTAGTAGCGATGCCGTTTGGTTCTCTCAATGGGAATGTCGAAAAAAGGTTCATGGCTTCGGGGCCGTCACCCACCGACCGTCACGTCATGTCGACGGGTGCCCTGGTCGAAGAGCGCCACGTTGCCAAGGTGCTGTCCCGACATGGAACTGCCGCAGAATATGAAGGCCAGGTCTAGAGTCTATAGGAGTCCGTAGGAGTCTAGGACCGGTGTAGGTGGATGTCGGATGTTCTGACAGGAGTGTAGGAGGTCCACTAGGCGGATGTCTTGGACTAAGTCACGTTTCTTTTTCTGTCGCACCTGCAGGATGACTTGGATGCCTTGCCAGGACTTAGTAGTGCTCAAAAAGACCAGCAAGATGATTCTTCGGACTGTAGTCGGTTGGAAGCGAAAAAAGGTGCACAAAGGGATCAAATACGTCAGAAGGTGCACCAGGATTCCTGAGTTGCATCAGGAACCTCGCGGAGGTGCAAACTTTATTCCTTGCTGTGCTTGAGCTGCTGGAACCTTGACACATGAAATGGCACGAAATCAACAAACCACTCGCTATGGCTATTTGCCAAAGAGTGGTGCTTTGTTTTGCAGTGAAATCGAGGTTTCTTGATTGCTGGTATAGCGGCCCTGGGCTGAAGAAGTGAATTCAACCAATGCTGTGCAGTGAGGTTGTTGAACCATGACTGGATGGTGCCTTAGGTTGGGGTGATACTACTCGAGAGTATCACTAAAAAGACGGCGAAAGGTATGCTTGCGAAGGCAGCATGGATGACTGAGAGATTTCTGCAAGATTTTGCACAGACTCTGAGTGCTGATTTTCGAAAAAGCTCCGAGTAGCTTCCTGTTCCTAGTAGTAAGGCCAGGAGCCCCTAGTAGCATCCTTGCTCCTAGTAGCGATGTCCTTTGCTCCCAGTAGGGTCTCATTTGAGTGACTGCAGGAGCGGCAGAAATGGCTTGATGAAGGCGTTTGGCAAACTTCTCCCCCGGCCGTCGCCTGTCAAAGCATCCGACATGGCAGTCATGTGGGCTGGCTGGGGCAGCTAGGGGCTGAATCTTGGTGGCCACATGTGGCGAGTCTCAGTGCCATGACGGTGCTTTGAGTTCATGTTAATGTCAGCTATTTGGCTTAAAGTGCATGCCTTGGCGCTCGCGAAATCGAAGTCAGTCATGGCAACGGACCAGGCACCCTGTACACCTCGCCGCGATGAGAAGAAGAGTTTGCAGAACCCGCGGTCTCCTTTGTTGTTCATTCCCTCGCCATCCAGGGCTCGTGTGACTCCACCTGTCACACCCGAAGTACCTACGGCTCCAAAGGGATTGAAGCTGTCACAGCTCAACGCCAATGCTCCGGTGTTCATCCCCTCGTCCTTTGTGAGTTCACTTGCCCAAGTCCCGACTGCCTTGCGCCTTCGTGAGAGCAGACATGACGTTTCAGAGCCACTTCCTGTGGTTTCAGTGCGGAAGATGGCTGCCAAAGGGTGTGCCATTGTGCTTTTGCGTGACGAGAAGGTCATGGAATTGGCCCTTCGCATGGCGGTTGCAGTGGTCGATGGAGTTTGTGTCGAGCTGCGCCGGCATAGCAGGCGGTCGAAAAGGGATGAGGGAGATGAGTTGGGTATTTTCGTCGCGTGGGGCCATCGTGTCGAACGGCGAGCCACTGTGAGTGAAGAAGGCCTGGAGGCCTATTTCAATGGTCTTGCCAAAGTGAGCTATCCGGCGGCACTGGATGTTCAGCCTCCTTTTCAGGAGACTTTGTTGATGTTTCCCTTGTCCTCATCGCAGTCTTTGGATTTGAAGCGCCCGGAGCTCGCGTCAGCGACGCATGATCTACTACTCCAAGGCCCTCATGGACGCCCAGACCTGGTGCAGATGCTTTGGGATGCTAAGGCCCAACTGGATGAGCTTTGGAACAAGCCTCCTCCGCCGAAAGCGAGGCACGTCCCGGCAGAAATCGATCAAATTGAATGACAATGTATTCGGAAAAATGCAAATAAATTATTACAACTTATTGTTTGATTTGTGCATCGGATACCTATTAACTCATTCTACTTGATCTAAGATCTCTATTTGACCTTGGCACGTTTTCGTTCTTTACGGATTTTTCGGTGGCTTGCGCAGATTTTTGGCCAGGTCAGTGATGCAACGGGTGGCACGCGATCAGCTTTTCCCTCACTCCAAGGAGGAGCAGAAAGAGCGAAGCGGCAAGTCCTATGAGAATCGCGCCGGTGAGAAGCTGGAAGAATTGGCTCAAGCTGTTGGTTTGTTGAAGGACATCCCCAGAAATGCCCGCTTCTTGGATCTTTGTGGAGGACCTGGTGCTTGGTCCCAGTACTTATTGGCCCTGGGATTTCAGGGCTTTGGCTTTACTTTACGGAGCGGGGTCGGACATGATGGTGATTGGCAGGCTGAAGAGAAAGATGATTGGTATCCTGAGCTCTTGCGACATCCCAAGTGGTCTGCTCTTTGGGGAGCTGATGGAACTGGCGACCTTCTGAAGCCAGAGAACCTGCGAAATGCCTCGCGATCGATTGAAAGGACTGGGGGTGTTTCGATTTGTGTGGCTGATGGTGGCTTCAGTGACAAAGCGATACCCGCCAACCTTCTGGAGCTCTACTTCTATCGCCTTTTCCTTGCAGAGATACTGACCGCCGCCAACTGTTTGCTTCCAGGAGGACGTTTTGTGTGCAAGCTCTATACCACTTTCTCCGCTGCCACTTCGTCACTTCTCTTCTTGGTCACTCGACTCTTCGCAGATGTGCGGATCGTGAAACCGATGACTTCACGAGTGGCCGGACCTGAACGCTACCTTTATGCCAGTGGCTTTCGGAGTTCCAATGAAGTGAAGGCCATCCGTCAAGCCCTCTGGTCTTGTCACTCTTATGCCGATGGTCAGAGCCCTTTGCAGCTTCCGTTGTTGACTCCCTTGGTGAACTTGACTGATGGCGCCGATGCCAAGTTCCTCTCGCAATTGCAGGAGATGGTGTCAACCTTGTCCATCCGCCAGTCGACCGCCTTGCGCTCCATCCGACACCGCGCGGAGGACTTGGAGCGCATGGCTTTGGACGTGGCCCGTCAGAGCGAGCAAGCGGAGCAGAAGTCGAAGAGGAGAGGAGACGAAGAGGAGAGTCACTTCACAGAGGCCATGACGTATTGCAAGCACCGGCGACAGACGAGCATGACGAGCATGGCGAGCGCCGAATTCAACTGCTACCAGTAGCACCAATTAGTGCACCTAGTTTTTTCTTCTGGCATGGATGGGTTCCTGGATAAGTTCAAAGATGTTTAGAGAGGCACTGCGAGCAACGTGCAAACCTATCCACAGCCTCCGTCCTGATTGCTAAATGAACCACTAATGACAGCGCTCCAAAAGCATGTTGAGCAACAGTTTTTAAAAGGCCACTTTGGAGGTCCATATTGCTCGGAGCTGCAATCATTCTCAACACACTCTGATGTGCCAATCACACACACACACATATATATATATATTCAATACGTATACATATATTTATACATTATGTTCATATTCTAGCCATATCTTGTCGAAGAATCTATGTACTTCTTTGCCGGGTGATGATTAATTGCTCCAGAGCTAGCCAAATGCAAATTTCCTGTTTAAGTGTGTGTTTTTCCCTGAGATGCAATAAATGACGTCGTCAGGGTGCAAGAGTCGAAAAGGCCGATTCACTTGAAGGGTCGTTTGGTCGATCATTCCTTCGCTGGTTCAGTGCTGACACTCTTCGTGAATTGGGAGGTGCAATTGGTCTACCTCCAGGTTTCTGTGAGGAGCATGCGATGCCTGTTCCGGATGCAAGGGTGCCCATTTCACATCAGTGTGACGGACAGATGATCAATCGGTGATGACGAAAAGGTGTAAGGCTTGGCATGCCTGGGTGCCAAGGTGACGGATCCTGACTGGGCCAAGCGTGCGGTTCAAGAAATGACTGAGGAGGAGCCCGCCAAAGGCATGTCAGAGAGTGCAGAACTGTCAGAGACACGGGGCGAAGTGGCTTTGATTTCGGTTGCAGCGAGGCCATGCGAGGCTCAAGATGTTCATTGAAGTGAAATGATTGAAGCGCCCTCCTCCAGGAGAAGTACCGCCTCATTCACGGAGTTGGCTTCGCAGGACGCGTTTCTCGGCAGTAGAAGTGCCTTGTGTACTCCAGCGGGCAGGTTTCAAGCTCTTGCGGGGCTACTACGTGGGATCTGTGTGTGGCTGAGGGCAGGGTGGTCGATTTGCCAATTTGGTGGAGACTTGTGGTTCCAGGTCTTAGGCGTACCTCGGCTTGGCATCCCCTGCATCAAGATGCAGGCACGGGCGAAAACTCAGACCTGGGGGTTGTTTGACATCTTCATCCGACGAAGCAAGCCGTTCACGGTCGCCTCACGACATGTTCGTCGGCCGTGGCTCACCAGGACGGACTTAGGGGGGTCGTGAACTCGACTGTAGCTGCTGTCTCGCTGAACTCGACGCCAAGCCATGTCTTACAACATGGAGCCTTTTCACGATGATTTCGAGGCTCCTTCTGGAAGATTGAGCAAGAACAGTTTGTTCCAAAGATTGGCTAGGTGTAGGTATTCGTGTGCCCTTCCGAGCGCTTTTGGGTTGATTTGTGCAGGACCAGCTGCAGAAAGATGCCATGCTTGATCAGGTCTTCAGCGATGCTACCACAGCATCTGGAGCAGAGATGCCAGAGCTTGAAGATTTGGAGGAAGCGACCCACACAACTTGCGTCATTTTGTGGCTGTGCGTACAACATATCCAATCTTATGGAGTGTACGTGTACGCCAAAAAAACGGCAGCTTTAAAAGCAGAGGATGCAGACTTTGTGATGTTTCTGGAGGACCTGGAGCCTCGGAGAATGATGGCGATGCGACCTTCAAGACAAGGGCTGAATGGTGTGCCAGGTATGGAGGACCTGTGGGTTGAAGCTGTTGATGAGAAATAGTTGATCGGATCACACCCTTCATCATCCTTCGTCTCGACAGGATGTGGTCGTAAGGCCCCTTCCTGAATTGGCACCAACCCGAAGAAGGGCACCATGCGTGCTCGTCTCAGGATCGATCGAGGGGTACAGTGAAAGATCGCTCCTTGTGCACCACGCGGGTCCGCTCAGGTGCCATGCCGTACCTGGGCCATCACACCCGACCACCCTGAAGCCCTGAAGCCGCCATGCAAGGAAGACCCGGATCAGAAGTCCGTGGACTTCCACCCCATGGTGACCATGCACCTCTTTCGCCCCTAGTCGTATGAATCTGGTGGTCGAGGGAGCTGCTGAATTTTGATCCGCATCAAAGATACTCAGATACTCCTTGAGGGATCTTCAGGGTACTCCAGTTGATTTTGCACACCAGATCTCACACGCAAACAGCAAGAGCACCAGGCGACTCAAATTACCTATGTTTACTTGGGCGCACTTGTGTCGGAGAATAGACCGTGAGTTAGACTGTGCATACTGTGAGCATACTGTGCAAGAGTCCCTTTACGATGCTGATCCTGTAATAAATGACATGGGCATACATGGGCTGTAAATGGTGATAATCTGAGAGCAGATGCGGGTGAAACTTCCTTTCGCACGCTGCTTGCCGGCGAAACGGCTGGCAAGTTTCTCCAAATCCGCCTGGGCCTCAGCCTCGACGCTGCTCGTCAATTGGATGCATGTTCGAAGAATCTTCCTGTCAATTGGCTTGAATGGAACTGTCCTAGAAACCCGAGCCCCTTGTGAAATCCACATTGGCCTCTCTTGGCTATCCTTCAGTTGTACAGACTAGCGAATAGGCCTAAGTGCCCTGGCATGCTTTGCACCACAGTTTGGGAAACGAATGGCCTGCAAGGCACAGGCCACCGGACCAGAAACCCACTACCGGTGGACACGTGCACATGACGTCTTTGAAGGCCCAAAGAGCCAAAGAGGTAGCGTCCTTGCTCCTAGTAGTAAGGCCCGGAGCCCCTAGTAGGGTCCTTGTTACTAGTAGCGATGCCCTTTGCTCCTAGTAGCGTCCTTGTGCCAAACTGCTTTCCGAAAATAAACCGTTTGAGATGGCCAGAGCCTCTAACAAGGGGATCTGTCACGTCTCATCAACGATCTTGAGGACTCTTTCTTCGTTGGACATTGTTGCGGCGCACTGCGAGGGTTTTTTGCAATTCTTAGATTGCCCGGATGGAAGTGCAGGCTTGCGCCATGAGTTGATCCTGTCTCCACAGCCATTTTCTCAACAAACTTTGGGGGGGAATTTGTGCAGAGGGTATCGTTCAGTAGCCTGGACTGTTGCAGCAGTCTCGCTGAACTCGACGCGAAGCGATGTCTTACAACATGGAGCTCTTTCACGATGATTT